CATTTTAGTGCTCAGGGGTGACAACGCATCGGGTGACTGTGAACTCGTTTGTTACTTTTATCTTTTTTTTTTATAGAATTAGGGTGGCAAACGAGCACACAACCCACTTGATGGTTAGTGGATGCTGTGGCCCATAGACATCTACATTTATCCTCGATTAAGAATCAAAATGCCTCGTTTTCAGTAAAAAGTTACTCCAATTCTCTACACTCACCGTACTAAACACAGCAGCGTTAAGCCAAAGAAAATATACACTACGCGAAGTTAAGCTGCTATTTTAGGCTGGTATTCCGTGAGAGCGTGGTCGTTCCCCGGTCGAGCCGACCCATTCATGCTACTGTAGCGGCGCTGTCGTCGCGCCACAAGCGAAATACACCGAAGCTTAAATCACGCTATCAACATTCCGAATCATAGACAGTATATATAGAACTTCTCCGAACTATCAGTCGGAGTGTCGGCCGCTCCCCGGGCAAAACACCTTGCCCGGCGGGAGATCTCCCCTTTTCCCTCTACGGCCACAGTGGTGACTCCGACGTGATCTGAACACGCAACCGACAACCTTCGGAAACTTCAAGCTTCATCATCGTCATAGAAAACCCCACCCATTCGCTCCCGAACCGATATCGTCTGCAGTCTTCATATCCTGCAAGCCATCTAGCTTCACAAGGTTCATCGCAGCATTGGAATAATAATGCTTCCTGTTCCTTCAAGCTACTTTCTGCGCTATACAGTGTTCGGCACGGCTCTGAGCCTTACTGCTCGCCTCTGCTTCACGGCACTCTCGCAGATTACTTGCCTTCTTCCTCGACTCACCGCAGACTACAAGGCAATCTCCTGGCACTTGCACATTCGTCGGCAACGAGGCTGCACTATCGACCTCCGGACTGAGGAGGGGGTGATGTAGCGGCGCTGTCGTCGCGCCACAAGCGAAATACACCGAAGCTTAAATCACGCTATCAACATTCCGAATCATAGACAGTATATATAGAACTTCTCCGAACTATCAGTCGGAGTGTCGGCCGCTCCCCGGGCAAAACACCTTGCCCGGCGGGAGATCTACCCTATTTCTACTTCGGCCACACTACAACTAATATAGCTGCAGCGTGTCTCTATCACTAGTTAAACAATGAAAGCTTTACAAAAAGATGGCGACGAGCGGCATTATCAAAGCTGCGAGAAATATAGTACGATCGTCAGTCCGCCTGCCGAGCACATGTCCCGCTGTGGACTCTTAAGGACAGATAAATATTTATTTTCTATAATCACCAATACAGAATTCATTAATTTAATAAACTATTCATTTCCTGTTATATATTTTCATGTTAGAGCATAACGGTCATCATCGTTACTGCATATCAAAAGTCCACTGCTTAAAATAGTCCTCCCCCATAGATTTCCTAATATTTGCCGTAGTTGCCACGCTAGGCAAGCGATTTGGCAACCACAGTTTTTATTATTTTGAGTTATTATCAGGAAGTTGTAGCTACCCATTTCCTGCTTCATTTGCCTCTTTCGACTCCATTGCAGTAATATGTACTTACGTACTAGAACAGCTATCTCAAACAAAAATGTGTGCTACTCTGTGTTCGCGCCTTTGGTTTTTTTATCATAGAATAAACATAGGTAGAATGATCCGTAGGTAATAGTAGATTGTATTGTTAAATAGCTAAATTATATCGAGAACAATATTTAAATTTTGTCATTTATTTTGTATATTATATTTGTTTATTTAATATAATATTACATAATATTATATCACAATTACATTTTAATGATATTTTTATCTGAATATTTTAAAAGGTATCTATGTCAAATATAAAAAACATACTAAATGTATGTTTAACAAAACTTATTAGCATAAAATTTAAATTACAAATATATTTATTTAAATTAGAATCATAAATGCTGTAAATAATCGTTCATAAATGCTGGGCACGCGAGAGTTAAAAATGGACGAAGTCGAGTTATATGTTTCTACAAAAAAAAATGTATATAATAATATATTCGTCCTAAACTTAAGTACCCACAGAAATGTCGCATCTGAACATATTAATTTCATAATCTATATTTAATGATACGAGATGGCGTCTTAGGAATAATTTTTTTTATTATTAATTTATAATACTTTTTTTATTGAATAAGTATCTTATTAACCGATGAAAAGTAATTCCTTGGTTTTTACTGACATTTCTTGAATTATTTGTGCAATATCTAAGTACTCAAGACGGCATATTTTTATCAAGAGATTTTTTTTAAATCAACACAACACGTGACGACTCTACAAGTGCCTAGCGAGCATAGATTACTGTATACTAGCGAGTGACTGAGTAAAGTGCAGTGCATGCACCGCAGTTGAGTGGAACAGAGTAGCTGAATGCAGTGTCTCCTCTAGTACGTAGTACATAATAGCTCAATGTTCGACTCTTATGATCTCTATACGTAGGACACTTAATAAGTTTTGAGATATACAAAAACTATTCTAGATACTATTAATATTTATTTTAAATCTTTTCGAGATATTCTCCATCATACTCTATACAAAGTACCATTCGCCTAAACCAACTCTGAAAACACTTTTGCTAGTCTTGATCTGACAGGGAATTTTAATTGGCTTGAAAAAAAATTGCTTTTTTTTTTTTCTTTGACTCTTGGAACAAAAAGAAATCACAAGGAGCTAAGTCAGGGCTGTAGGTTAGGTGACTTAGAGTTTCAACACCAGTTTCCTCAATAAATGCTTTTGTTCTAAGGGACGTACGTGACGAGGCGTTATCGTGATGCAGCATGATTCCATGAAGCCCGGTCTTTGGTCTTCTTTCCCGCACAGCTTGAAAGGCTTTGGGTAATGCAACTGTAGTATACCATTCAGAGTAGACTAACGTACAATTTTCCAGCATTGACGTTGACAAATGTCCGCTCAGAGAAAAAAACTAGGCACTATTTTTTTGCCAACGTTGCGAGGTCTTCGCAGTTTTGTCGGTAACTGTCCTTCTGAGTAGACCCATTCCGATGATTGCCTTTTATTTTCCGGATCATATTGATAGATCCATGTCTCGTCACCAGTAACGATTTCTGAAACACGCCTAAATGCCCCGTTTTCAAAACGTAGATGCATTTCATACCATCAATCCACACGAGTCTGTTTTTCGCTTTCGGAGAGCAAACGAGGGATCTATCGTTCAACAAAGCTTCCTCACTCCAAGATATTGATGTAAGACGGTATGAATGCTCCCCGAACTAATGCCTACAATCTTTTCGATGTCCGTATATGTGATTCGTGGGTCTTTTCGCACCGAAATTTCAGTAGTCCATACATTTTCTGCCGTTACTTCTGTTTGCGGGGCCCCGGTTCTTTGGTCAAATTTAAGGTTAATTTTATCCCTTTTGAATTCAGCAAACCACCTAAAAATGTGGTGCGTGATGGAGCTGAGTCCCCTAATGGTGAATGCTGTTGTAAACTTAATTGTTCGGTTAAACCAAATTTAAAATCATAATAGATCATAGCACGCAAATGATCACGGTTAAGATCCATCGTTAAGCGCGAGAAGCGTTGCAGGAAAATTAATAGAACTTTGTTTTTTTTTTAATATTGAGCTATAATTTGACTTATGGAGTTCTATTTTTAAATAAATTTTCTTTTTAGAAACATATAACACGGATGCGTTCCATTTTTAAATTTCGATCATCTCAAAACTTATTGAGTGATCTACGTATGATATGGATACTCGTATTCCAATGGACATTCTTACACCGCCATTGCACGACATTGTACGGATATACGAATTGAAAGAAATTATTTGTTGTTTCTTATCACGAAAAATGTATATTTAAGTATCTAGATTTTTAAGGAAATACATTACATAAATCAAAGGGCAATTGATGACATAGATGAATTCTAATTCGATTTTTTTTTTGTTTTTATAGGATAGGATGACAAACGAACATACAGTCCACCAGATGGTGAGTGATTGCTGTGGCCCATAGACGTCTACATTTATCCTCGTTTACGATTCAAAATGCAGATGCGTTGTCACCCGTGAGGACTAAGATGGAATGCCTCGTTTCCAGTAAAAAGGGTCTCCAGTTCTCCACACTCACCAAACGAAACACAGCAGCATTAAGCTGCTATTTTACGCTGTAATTCTATGAGAGCGTGGTCCATCCCTCATCGAGCCGATCCATTCGTGTTACAATTATACTACTAATATTACTGCAGCATCGCGCTACCACGTATAAAATTTTACCATAATTATGGGGGTATAAGGAAGAATATTATGAAATTTTCTCCTAATTTATTGTACACTTGGTGCTTACCCTGCTGACGGACGGACCATTCTATGACGTAAAATATCCGCAAAAATGTTAAATTTAAATATTAAGGAAATAATTTGGGTTATTAGGTAAATTAAACGAAGAAAATTTTCATACGCATTGTTTTATTATTTTTGAGATCCCAAAAACACACAAACATAGTGCATCACTCTTTTTTGTATAACTAATAACAAAACTTAAATATAAGTAATAAAAAGTATAAAACTGATTGGTTCCTTAAGTCTATACTCTCGTATAAAAAGAGTAATCAATAAAAAAACATAAAAAAGTATGTAAATGGCACGAGAAGCCGCGGTTTCATGCTTACAATACTAAATAAGTGATAAAAAATTATTACACACAGTGCTCAAGTGATACTTTTTGTGTATATCGTTTGTGCAAGTGACAAAAGTATTTTACTCAGTCCATTTGGAGAAGCCAAGAAGTCGTCGTCATTAGTGATAAATAATTAAGTACGTATACGCTCAGTGGCCGCACATTTGTTACAGAAAAAATCACATTGATTTCATAATAACTACCTCTTCCTCTTGCATGTATAAACGTTGTTCGGGCAATATAAATGACATAAACGAGCGGTCGAGTTGCAGGGCGGGCGGCAGCTGGGGCGCGCGAGGCGGCGGCACTGGCCCCGAGAGGGCGCGCGGTGGAGGCACTCGGGGCCCGGGGGCTCGCTAGCCGCGCACGGTGACCACGGTGCAGCCGAAAATCTCGTCCATCTGCCGCGACGAGAATGTCGCCACGATCCGGCGCTCACCGCTACGCCGGGGTATGAACTTGTCCTGGTAGTTCACCAACTCGCCCGGTTTTACATCACGGAACCGAATCTGTTCAAACAGTCAAAAGTGAAGGAGGAGGTATTCAATTGTTTTGCGTGTTAACTAAGAATTAACTTTTCTTTGGGTGAACCGATTTTGATGATTCTTTTTTCAACTGAAACCTGGTACTTTTCGTGTGGTCCCATATAAATTTAACCAAGATCTAACCAGTAGCTTTTACGTTATTTTTAATAATGCGTGTTTAATTGACTTCGAGTACATTGATGATATTCTCATTGTAATAACATTGAAGTCGGTAGTACAAAATTTTCATTTTTACCCATTGATATAATATCATTGTTTTTACCACTTGTTTTCGATGTTATTTTATACTGTTCAGTAGCAAACTCATAGGCCATTTACTATTATGTTTTATCTTCATGTTTCATTTTTTAACTTAGCCACTACTTTTATCATCACCATTACAGTCTTTCACAAGTCTACTACCTAAAATGGCCTAACCCCCACCCCCTCAAGTGATTTCCGTGTTATAAGATCGTCGCTCCATCTTGGCACCAAACACTTTCGTTTACCGATACGAGGCTGCCACTCTCCCCCATCGGTTGTCGGTTTTTGCGCGAAATTCAGCTTACTTATATTTTGGGCTATGTCGATTACTCTAGTTCTACTACAGATATCCTCAATTCTAAGTCTATCATACAGAGAAACTCCAAGCACAGCGTATACTATAAGAGCAAGATAACATTATTGAAAATGCAAGGCAATGGACCGTAGCTGATTTTCTTAAATACAGCCCCCCAAATTAGGAATTCCTTCCGTATATTAGAGGCAGGCGTAATAGAATCGAGCAGCCTATTTCGTCCCATGGGTGCCGTATAACACAACTATAGGATATGACATAAAGATAATAGTTTCTGATAGGTTGATAGATGTTATAGCCATCTCGTTAACGCCAAACATAAAATAGTTAGACAGATCGACGACAGATAACAGCGGTCAGCAGGTGCCATACGATCTGGTACTACAACCGTCAATTTTCCCGCCAACCATGACGGTTAGTGCAAATCGTCCTGACTACGGGAGAGACGCAAGTCAACCAATGAAAGTTTACGGGCTGTCACCGTCACCGTCATATCTTATCAAGTCTACTACTGAACATAGGACTCCCCAGTAGTAGTTGATATTCTTAGCACGGTCCTGAGGCTACTGTATCCATAAACTTTACATCTTACTGGTCGTCACCCCATCTATTGTGGGAATGCCGTACACTTCGCTTACCAGTACAGTAATGTCTTCCCATCAGTTGTCGATTATCCGAGTTACATGACCGGTCCATGGTCTATTACCAGTTCAGCTTACTGATCCGTAATTCTACGACAGTTACTCCGGTTCTACTGCGGATATCCTCATTATGAAGTCTATCTATCAATGAAACTCCGAGCATAACCCTTTTCATAGTTTGCTAAGTGACTTTGCGCTTCCTCATACAGCCAGCAATAAAAGATCACGACTTAAATCCACACCCCATCACTGGCAACACGCACTGGTTGTTTTTTGATGAGGAAAGAAAAAAAAACACGTCCTTAATCGGCTACAAAATGTTTTAGCACATACCTGTCGCGGCCTTTGCACACCAGGTCCTTCGACGGTAAAGTAGCAGTCGGTGAGATGGACAGTCAAGGGATTTTGGAAGCTGAATGTCACAGAACACTCCTGGCCTACGCTCGGCTGACTTCTAACCTATAAAAGAGATGAAGAGAATGACCTTAACTTATACATTAATGTGGGCTCATTTAGATTTTTTTCTAAATAATCATTAGTGACCATTTATTTTATTAATTTTTCTATTTCACGAAAAATCTTTCAGATTTTGAATAAAATATAGCTTTGATAACTCCTTGCATTGCTCTTTAGTGAAGTTAATCGAGGATAAATAATATAAGGTGGACTGTGTGCTCGTTTGTCAACCTTATTCTATAAAAAACGTCCGTTTATTCATTCAGAAGATTAGATCGAACAGATATAAAGACAGACAGACAAAAATTTTACATATGGTTATTCACAACTTAATGACATACAAATTACCCCTTGAGCTAAATGAAAAGCAGTTATTCTGTTATGACAGACCCCACAATTTTGTTTATATGTAGTAATAATAATAATAATGTCCTCCAGACCGAATTTCGGTCACGGTGACCAGCCTCAACGGAGGTTAGCCATCGGCGCAGGACAGGATTATAGTGCCCAAGTGTATGCGCAAGCACAGGTGCACTTCCTATTCCCTTACTCTCATAATCCGATGGGACGGTAAACCGACACGACCGGAAAGAGATCAGGCGCAGGATCAACGGCTCTACGTGCTTTCCTAGGCACGGGGGTGAGACACCGCCAATTTCCTGACTCCGGGCAACTAAAAACTGAATAATAATTGATTTTTGGCCCGACCCGGGATTCGAACCCAGGACCTCATGATCAGCAGTCACACTACTACAACCACTAGACCAACGAGGCAGTCAGTTGATTATATCCTATACATTATACGTACATAAATTACAAATAAAAAAATTATTAAGTAACGTACCTGCACTTGCATCCTCGGCTTGTGAAGTGGGAAGTCATCCTCATCAGCCCAAGCCTGTCGTGTCTGTTTCACATATGCCATGGCCTGAATCTTTATTATCGCATGGTCCACGAGCTTATCCATGTACTCTTGGGGTGTAACGTGTAACTTGAGGACTTCCCTCTGTCCAGCACGAACAATAAACTCTCCCTGAGCTCGTCTAAGTCTTGACGCAATAGCTCCAGTGTAATAACAGGCTGACGCGGTCAATACGCATATTATTGTGCGATCTTCCTGAGATTTGTTCTGTCAAATAAAGATATAAAGACAACTGATTGGAAATTAATGTCTGTAATTTTCTAAGAAAAATGGTTTCACAGAGAATAATTTTTCGCCTTAAAATTTTCTAACACTAATAACGTCCTTCGAATTCCGGTCATGGTAGTAGGTAGTATTAAGAGATACTAGACAAGCACAGATGCACTCTCTATTACTTCCTCTCACATTCTGATGGGAGGGTAACCCGACACGATGGGTGAGAGATCAATCAATCATACGCTTGATGCGTATGCTAACAGCTTTACGTGCTTTCTGAGGCACAATCCGCCAACTTCTACGTAGTAGAGCCGCGGTGCAACTATATTATAGTTGTAGCACTAATGGGTCGGCTCGACGGGGGTAGGACCACGCTCTCATAGAATACCAACGTAAAATAGCAGCTCCATGCTGCTGTGTTTTGTATGGTGAGTGTAAAGAACCGGAGACCCTTTTTACTGGAAACGAGGCATTTCATCTTAGTCCTCACGGTTGACAACGTATCTGCATTTTGATTCTGAATCGAGGATAAATTTAGATGTCTACGGGCCACAGAATTCACTCACCGTCCGGTAGACTGTGTGCTGGCTTGTCACCCTATTCTATAAAAAAACTTCCTAACTCCGGACTACTGCTGAGAATTTTGCGACAAAAATCCTCAATACTTTTACAATTTAATAGGTCTCCTTTTTGGTCTAGGACTCCGTACGGGTAGTTACTACTTTCTTAAGTATTTCTGCCGCCAAGCGGAAGTTCATGCACAGCTGTGCACAGGCTGTGAGACATTCCATTTTAGTCTTAAAAGTGTATCCTTCTTTGTTTGAAGTCGGTTGCAGGAGTTCATGAGCTGCAGTAGCCACTTGTCACCAGATAGGCCGTAAGGTTTGTCCGACCTGTATTCGAACTGGTACCACCCCTGGTACCACATCAACAGTCGCACTTAACACCACTAGATCAACAAAGCAGTTATAACTTTTCATAGTCTCGCGTTTGCTGCCCGCACTAATAAAATAGTTCGAAAACAGCGTAAGATACAATAAAAATAGTTCAAGTTCACGTGAAATCCGACGAATAGTATAAAGGCAGTCTAGTGGATTTTCTCAGTCCTATAATGATCATGTTTTAGAAATAATAAATAGTTCAACGTCATGTCGAATACGCCAAAACGCATTGGCAAAGTTCAGCGGACTTTCCCTGTCCTAAAACTCTCTTAGTTTAATGAACACCACACACGGTCAGTTTAACTGATCATTCCAACTGATCAATTCAAACTAAAACTATTGACATTTTTTAAAATATTGAATTTCCGACATATTGATATCAATATCCGAGTTTTATACATAAGTTTATTTATACGTGGTAGAGCCATGCTGCAGTTATATTAGAAGTATAGTTGTAGCACGAATGGGTTGGCTCGACCGGGGAGGGACCACACTCTAACAGAACACCAGCGTGAAATAGTAGCCTAATGATGCTGTATTTCGTATGGTGAGTGTAGAGAACCGGAGCCCCTTTTTACTGGAAACGAGGCATTCCATCTTAGTCCTCACGGGTGACAACGCATCTGCATTTTAATTCGTAATTGAGGATTGATGTAGATGACTATGGGCCACAGAAACCACTTACCATCAGGTGGACTGTGTGCTCGTTTGTCACCCTATCCTATAAAAAAATCGATATATCGAAAACTCCAATAATTAAAAAAATATCAACAGTTTTAGTTTGAACTGATCAGTTAGAATGATCAGTTGAACTGACCGTGCGTGGCGACCATAATATGTATGTAGGTATATAATATGTTTTACGTGGTAGAGCCATGCTGCAGCTGTAATGGTTTAAGTGGTTTTAGTAAATGGTTTTAGTGTAGAGACACATTAGTTATATACATTTTGTTGAATTGACACTTAAGTAACTAGTACCAAAGTGCACGTACATTGTGAAGAATAACACTCGTACAGTAGCATGAATAGATTGGTTCGACCGAGGAACGACAACGCTCTCACAGAGTACCAGCGTAAATAGCAGCTTAATACTGCTGTTTTTAGTATGGTGAGTGTAGCATTTACATTTTGATTCTTAATCGGGGATAAATGTCTACATCATGTATAAATGTCATTTTTCATCAAGTATACTTTGTGCTCGTTTTGTCGCTCTCATTCTATAAAAAGAAAAAAAACTATATACCTGTATGTTCATAGTGCAATCGAAGGGCTGACCGTACGGTACGACATCAATGTCCATTAGATCGAAGTGAACGTCTTCGAGGTTGCGATCCGGAAATTCATAGTACTGCTGTAACCGTTGGTACCCTCGACAAGAAGCAATAACCGTAAGGCGTTCGGGACAAGAGCTGTCTACGGTTTTATATTCGGGCGTTATTTCGAGCAGATCGCTATCACCTTCATCATCATCGCGGCTGGGATTCTTCGTGAGGATCTTACGGCCCACTCTGTAAAATGACTCTACTTTAAACATAACCGACTTGAGAAAACAATAGTTAAAGGAAAATATTTACTTCATTTCTGTGTTTGGAAAGTTAATCAGGTACAAATTTTAAAATCAATCTTTCAAATTCCCTTTTAACTAGAAATTGTACTTAATCTTCATTCAATTTTGTTTAACTTGTAGGTAAAAATGATTATCTAATTCGGTCAAGACTTAAAAATAAACATAAATTTGTTTCTTATTTTATTGTAAATTATTCTTTAAACCTGTATTTATGTCATTCTCAAACCACGATGTCTCTTTCTTTCTACTTCAGTAATAAAGATTGTTATATAAAATATTTATTTTGAAATATTGTAAACTTCTAATCCAGCCAAAAATTAAGATAAATTTAAAGCTAAAGTTTAAGTTAAAGTTACAGCCTACATACGTCCCACGGCTGGGCACAGGCCTCCCCTTATTTCTGAGAGGTTTTTAGGGCAAAGAAATTTTCGCCGCGCTCACATAATGCGTGTTGACAAACTTCACATGCTTTCGAAAAAAATTTTTCTTACACTTGCTGGTTTCGTCACAATATTTTCCTTCAACATCATTAAGCACGTGGTAAATCAGCACTTAAAATTGTAACTAACAATTTCGCTGGTGCGCGCTCTGTCAACAGTGAGCGCTCAACCCCTAAGCTACCACGGCTCTAAGATAATTGGACGCTCCAATGGACATTTTAATGCCAACATTGGAGTACTTTGCAGCATCAGCGGTCTTAATTTGACTATGGTTTGGAGACTGTGAAACTACGGTGCTTGACCTTCTGATATTGACTCAACTTTAGCTACTTTAATAATTGAAAGTTTTCGTACAGGCTTTTTAATCGTGAGGAAATCTTCACGAATACTTTCCTCTGTGGGGTAACAGTAAGGTATACCTGACTCCTACGTATCTATCTAACAAACAACATAAGAACGTCGAACACCGGAGCACAGTCTCCCTATGACTGAGTGGGTGCTACATAGTACAAATAAATTAAATTATCGCGATAAAATCGGTAACACTAAGGTTTTATTATTTGTATCTAATATTTATATTAATTTATAATAAATCATTAAATCAATTAATTCAATATCAGGTCTTTACATACGAAGTTGCCATTTTGTAACGGAATATTGAAATAAAAAAGTATTACAAAAAAACTTTAAATTATTATATTTTTTGCCTAAACTAACACATTCTAACCATTGTATGGATAGTTGGTTTGATGCCTTTGAGATCTGCTCTTGCTCGAAGTGGAAGTCTGTAAAGGGAAAGTCTGGAGAATATGGTTAATGTGAAAAGGCCTCTAGTTTTAGCTCTGCAAATTTTGCCATCGTCTGTTGTGCACTATGTGACCTGGCCTCGTTATGAATATACAATGCAATGTGTAAATTTGTGTAAGTACCAGCCCCTTCATCATTATTTGCAATACTTGACAATATTTGCCAGCAGCGTCTGTAACATCAGACGGCAAGGAACTTCAGTGAATAACACCGAGTGTAGGTAGACCATTAAACTGTCACCATAAGCTCTTTCTCGTTATTTTTACATTTAGAGCTTTATTTAGCTTGGGCACCTGGATCTAATCACTGTGATGGACGCTTGAGATTGTCGTATAGGATCCACTTGTCCTGCAGGTTCAACTCAAACTTTCCTCCTTTCTAAACCAACTCAGCAATAAGATGCAAGCCTCTTACTGTATGTCACTTAGTTCGTGAGATACCCATTTATCTTCTTTATTTTACCGATTTACCACAAACTAATGATCTAATGTTTTGATACATCGAAAGCAGACGCAGACGCTAGCTCAAACATAGTTGACGTCGGATCCGTTTTAACTATCGCTTTTAGTTCGTCATCATCAACCTTATCCGGCCGGTCAAGGGCTCGTTTGATTAAACCAACGCATTGTTTTCATGTCGGTACTCATATTTAAAAAAATACGAGAATTAATTTGAATTCAGAATCAGAAGTCAAACCTTAGGCTGGTATGTAAAATATATCACAGGCAAAAGACCTAATAATATAAACAAAATAAGATTAAAAGTTTTGTTATTTCAATGTTAATTTAAAAACAAACGAGAACTTACTGATATTGATTGGACGACATCCTAACAAATCCCCAATCAGAATTTTCTTCTTCTTGGAAAAGACACAGTTCGGAGTTCAGCTGGCCGTACATGAATGGCGTATCGTACTGGAATCCGACCTCACCTCGGCGCACAGCCTCTACACTAGCAGGACCACAGTGGTAGACTGCTTCCGCTTCCTCTTGAGGAGTGGCATCAATAATTTGCCAGCCGCTGTACCCTAATTAAAAAATAATAATTAGAAATATTCAAATCCTTGACTAAACTCGCTTAAATATAACGCAAAATATTCTATCTTTACCTTGTGGCAGATCCAACCTCTGCATCCAAACGTCGTTCCAAACATGGAAGTTCCAACACGAGTCATAGCAATCTTCGTCGGGGCCGTTCGGTACTTCGTTACCATCACGGTCAAAGTATTTATCGACCGTAAACGTGCGGCTTGTATCATGAGCAGATACATAATTGGTAACAGAACGGCATGGGATTCCTAAAATAGTATGTGCAACGTTAAATAATTAAAATGAGCATTGAACTTAAGTCATTACCATCAATAAATAGAAAGGTAATTACCTAGAGCACGACAAATCGTAACAACCAGCCCTGAAAACACCCAGCACTGGCCATATTCGACGGGCCGACCGCCATCCGTAAGGTAGCGTTCGAGAATAGCAACTGAACCAGTCCAAGCATGAGGTGACACACCGTCTTTGTATTCTCCATCGTATCGTCCGACCATTAAGCCGTCATCGTCAGCGTTAGCACTAATCTAATATAAAAGAAATAACAATTACTCTAAGTAGGTATATAATGTAACATGTAAGTTTATCAATACATTATATTTTATTTTACTTTACTATATAATATCAATTTTTTAACTCACCATTGATGAAATAGCTCTACACACTCGAACTGGATTCCCGCGTTCTGAATGCTCAAGTCCACTGCGCTCCAACAAATACATGCAAGCCGGTAACACAACATCGTCAAACTGGCCGTAAATCCATTTGCGTCCCTTCGGCTGACGCCAAGTTCCGCACCAAATCTTCCCCTGTTCGTTAAGTACATATTCATTTCTAAACGCGTCGTTGTCCATGTAAACAGTGTCTTCGCGACACCAAGGGTTGAACAAGATATAGATATCTTCATCGCATTTGTAATCGTTGCGATTGTCACGCTGTCCGACTCGACTTGTTTGAACCCAACAATTCCAAACTCCTACTGGGGCTGTAGCTGGTACATGTACTTGGAACGTAATAGTGTTGCCATCTTGGCGCTGAACGCTTAGTTCCCATTTGTCCATTTCATGGCTTATAGAGGCCAGATTGTTCATAGAACCATGATGAGATCCATGAAGCGAACCGAAACTGCGGCCGTATGAAGAATGTTGCGTCGTGGCACCGTACCGTTCAATCACCGGACGTTCTATAGGTCCAGGAGGACTAAGTGGGCTGTGTTGCAAAGACATTGTTTCGTTGCTAAATGAGCTGCGTCGAACACCGTATGTTGCAGTTTCTCGTATGCCGCATATTGGACTCATTGCAGATATGGTGCTTATCGTGCCTACTGTGCCCACCGTGCCTACAGGAGCTGCAGTTGTGCTAATATCTTGCAGTCTTGCCATGCCCAACCCCATCATATCCCGCGAATGTTGAAAGATCCCCTGTTGCGTATTCCAGTTCACAGACAATACCACTCGCGTTCCTTTTGTAACACTTGGTTTGGGACCTGTTAAATATGTTTTTTTAGTACATTATAATATTTGTTGTATAATGATGACTTAAAAGAATCAATTTCTTGACATCCTATGGGTGAGGGGAGGGAAATACCAGGAAGATCTCGTGGCCTCCGTCAATTGGTAAAATAAACCTTCTCATTTATTTCTGGAAACAAGCAACAAATTTGGAAAACTTTTAAATTAAGTGTGGGAATTACGTACAGTTTTATGTGGTAGAGCCACGCTGCAGCTACATTATAGCTGCAGTTGTAGCACGAATGGGTCGGCTCGACCGGGGAAGAACCACACTCTCACAGATTACCAGCGTAAAGTAGTGTAGAGAACCGGAGACCCTTTTTACTGGAAACGGGGCATTCCACCTTAGTCCTCATGGGTGTACTTTGATTCTTAATCGATGATAAGTGTAAATGTCTATGGGCTACAGCAGCCACTCACCATAGGACCGTAACCAATAATATCAATCCCCTTTGGCTACGTTCGTTCACTGGTACGTAGATACTTCAATAATTTACACGCTCAGCTTTGGAAAAATTTAGTAGACTGTAGACAAGCTAGGGAGGCCCTACCTGAAATAAACAGTCGTCTAACCAAGGTTCTAATGAGACTGAACAAGCCACAGATCAGGATAGTAACAAGTGCTATCACAGGACATGGCTCTTTTAACAAACATTTGTTCACCATAGGTGTTACTGACAGCCCCCTGTGCAAGGCATGCATGGGAGAGGAAGAAACGGCGGCTCACGTGTTGCTGACATGTCCAGAAGTCGCTTCATACAGGGCTAAACATCTCGGCACGCCGGGATCGCTCCCCGAAGTTGCTTGCAACATCAAGGGACTGCTGAGCTTCTTCGGGGAGATATCATGGCTCGAATAAGCATATTATTCCTGCCCACACGCAAAATACGCGCTTAGACGTGGAGTTGCGGAAAACAGCCCGTCGTAAACTAAACTAAACTAAACTAAAAGCCACTCACCATCAGGTGGAATGTGTGCTCGTTTGTCTCCTTTTCATATTAAAAAAAATCCTGGCATAGGAGCCCACGTTCAGCGGTGGACAGTTTAAGAGCGGATAAAAATGCCCTTAAAATTGATAAAGTGAAATCGAAATTCAAGGAATAGGTATTTGCTTTTATATTATTATCTTTATAAAGAAGCTTCATTCAGTTCGATAGTATTCGGCTGCGGCCGCTGAACACCGAAAACTAGCTTTGAGCAAAGGTGACCACATGCAGCATGCGCTGCCCATGAGTCTTAAAATGAAATGCCTCACAACCATTTTTTCAAAATGTAAACTTCTAAGACCGGTGACAAAGAACGGCTTCATAGGTGCCAGACATCCTGTACTTTGATCTTTGACCGCCTGATCTACCTGCCAAGCGCAGCAATAATGACAAATGTTTCCTACAATTATAGAAGCCTATGGGCTATTATAGGGAAAAGAAAAGTGTAGTGACGGTGTGAGAATATCCACTGCCCCATATCGTCTCATGGGTGTCGTAAGAGGCGACAGAGGGAAACAAGGCAGGCGATAAGCAGCAGCGTTCTCCTGATAGCATCTAGAAGATTAAGAAAACCTACCGTTGCCAACCCACTTGCCAAGCGTGCCAACTATGTTGTGTATGATATTATCCCCTTTATGTGGGAGGCCTATGTTCAACCGTGGACTTTGATAGACTGTAATGATGATGAAAGAAGAAAAAAGAAGATTGATGATATTTAACTACTAACCATAGCAAAATACGATGCGGGTCACATCCTGTTGCTTGTCGTAAGTCCTATCAAAACGAACAGCAAAGAAAAAGTTTTGTCCCCTTCGCAGCACAGGATTCGGCAAGATACTATCATTCACCAGCTCATATTGCTCGGTATGATGGTCCTTAGAATTGTCCCTTGAGTAAAACTCTGTTAATTCCACCTTTAGTGGTTGTTGCGAATAATAATTCTGAGGTATCATCTCCATTGTGTCATGGCGACGTCGACGTTCATTTTGATCAGCCAATTTGCAAATAAGGTTGTGAGAATACTGCGTATTTGGGCTGTTCCGCGAAGAATACTTCATGCGATGCAGCGCGCCAGTGCTATGGGATCGTCCAGGTCTGTGTTGAGCCGAAGGACCGGCCCGCTGCATGGGGCAGCGCCGCGTTTGCCCCGGGCGATGGCAGAAACTTGAGATATTGTAAGACGCTGATAATCCCGGGACGTAATTCGACGGCATACCTCCAATTGTTATTTGCGGTTCCCTCACACAACTCAAGGTACTGATTGCCGTGGTCAATCCCGTAATTCCTCCAAGACCCATTCCAGTCATGCTCGACGTCATACTGGACGACATTTTGTCCATGCTCGATTTGCTAACTGTACACATATACGTGATAACTAGAGGGTTTCCCTCTCTCGCGGAAGTGTAGGTACCGTAGTTAGCTCCGGGTCGGAGACACCAGAGCGAATGCAGTGCTTAGCTACTCGGGATCCCTTATATAGTGAAATTTAAGCATAGGCATCATTCACCGAAAAGGTGTCAAATATCCACATGGACGCCACAGTTGCTGGTTCCGGGCAGCGTTTATTATCTCTGCTCACTGACTTGTGGACGTCGAGAGCACATACCTTTGTCTCTTAGTTTGTGAAACGAAGGTAATACATGTCTGTAAATACTTATTAACAAATAAAAATAATATATAATACCAATTTGTATTATATTATTTTTTAAACATTTATGGATATTTTATCCTTGCCGATTTCATAATGTGAGATAGGATTAGACACAGTGAAAGGACCGAATTTTCTTTGTAAAAATAAATATTAGTAATCCTATTAATTAACATTACTAATATTCATTTTAACCACTCCTGGACAACCTTGAAACGCTTGTGCTAGGAGTGGTTCACGACAGTAGTCAAATGGTGGATTCGAATCCACGATCTTTTGAGTTCGCGATCCGCGCCCTGCCATTAGGCTACTGTCGCCTAATTGAAGACAAGAATTGAAGGACACATTCAGCAACACTATTTGATTTTGCATAAATTATGTGTTTTTCTATTTTGCCTTTATATAACCTTAGATAATCTTTTCATCTCATTGTTATAAAGTTAACAGAACACGTCAAAAACCGAAAATCAACTACGGTACGTGAGGGTAATATGGTCACATTAAGCTTTGCTGTCCTATAAAACCTAAACTACTTAGGCAATATTAGGATTAGGACACTGAAAAATCAACTTAAAAAAAACTAACTACCTACACTACACCATACTAAAACCTAGTAAGACATTTACTATAATGTCGACTGTCAAAATGTTGTCGATAAAGCATCGCCCTTTTGACCCTTTACTATTTGATTGACTGATGAAAAGCTATCATATCACAGAGCCATCTATGCAAAAAAGGCTGTAGGTTTTGAGTTATAAGAAAGTGACCATATTAACCGGATGACCATATTACCGCCACGTACTATATTTAGGTTTTTCTCCGACTGGAACTCAAATCCACGATATTTTAATCAGATACTCATACCACTAAGCAACACGGTCGTCAATGTAACATTAGTAAATTAAATGAAGCCCTTTTCTTTCATAAACGTATCCTATTGTTCTCACTTGGCTACTGACACCTCTAATACAGACATTCAGCCCTTTTGTTCAAGTGCATTGGCCCCGCTACTACTCAAGTCTCATAATATGTACTTATATTCGTTTTTCCATATTTGTAATATACCTACATTTAAATATACCTACATACTTTAAATATGCCTTCAGTATGATTGTAATTAACCATAAAATTTTATGGCACATTTTGTCCCTTTACAATCAATTTCTTTAAATTTTTAACTTCCCGCTATTAAAATCAATGATTTTGGAACCGGGCGGCAGGAAACAAGCTTCAGGACGCCGATGGTTTAGGTAATTTCTTTTTACAGTGAAAATAATGGTAATTTAAAAAAAATAAAAAACATAAGCCCTGCTTTACAGTTAGTTCAGTTAGTATGCAAAGTTTCATGATCTTATTTAAAGTATTTTATGAATAACAGCGGTTTATTGTTCAGTTTGGAGTTAACTTTGGATTTTTTTTCTATCGAGAAAATTTTACGAAATCATGTTTTCATCTAACATAGTACTTAACATTAATTCTCAACTTTACCATATATTTATTTCAAAATTAATGCTGCAATACTTTCGGTATAACAGAGGACCTTGCTAAGCCATTTGAGCTTATATTCCCCCTTAAAGAGCGATTTCTCTAACGAAAAATTACGAATAATTTTTTAAAATAACTTCTAACGCCGTTAAGTTCGTCAAAATCGGTTGATTTGTTCGTGAAATATACAACTTTGAAAAAAAAATTAATAAAATGTTTTTTTTTTTCAAAATTATGACTTTTTTGAGCTCGAAGACGTCATAATAGGTGGAATTTGGAGCGCTTTGCATTAGAGATCAGCAGTAAGTTCCAGTAATGGCCTGTAGAGTAAACTGTATTTTTTTTACACATAATAAATAAATTTATTGGATGCAATTTTTACGTCTTGCACGTTTTAAAGTAAGTAAAGACTTACTTAACCGTATAAAAGTAAAGTAAAGTAACAGCCTATATTGGTACGTCCTACTGCTGTAACAGGCCGCCTCTCATTTCTTTCGGGTTTTGGAACGATAAATCTTCCACGCTGCATCTGCGCTGCATCAGCGCGTGTTGGGTGATTTCACATCATATCATCGAAATATTTCATTCCTCAAAATTACAGGTTTCCTCACAATGTTTTCCTTCACCGGGCATGTAGTAAATACTCACTTAAAACTTCTATTACCTATTTCATTAGTGCCGTCGAGAATCGAACCTGGGTTGCTTCCGTTCTATGAAATTTACGACAAGCGCTTAGTCTCTGAGCTTACACTGCTATACAATTACTAATATTTAATAATATTATTGAAACTAGTTACTATATAATAAATAAATAAATTAAACTATATATATATATATATATATATATATATATATATATATATATATATATATACATATAAAATAGTTTTATTCGCCGAAACCTAATAAAATTTAAATATATTGAGTTTATTTTGAGTTAATAGATGCTCATCCATTTATTATTATTAGAGATAGGTACGAGATCTTAAGATTTTAACTATTTTAATGGAAAATACTAAGGGATGAGCCACTCGCGTCTGTACAAAATAATTGAATACTGACAACTTTCTGGTGGTAGACTTCGGGCACAAGCTCTTAGGTTACCATCCACCAATGTAAAGCCATGTCGCCAAATTTATTATACGTGTTAGTCTAGTTGTAGCACGAATGAGTCGGCTCGACCGGGGAACGACCACGCTCTCACAGAATACCAACATAAAATAGTAGCTTAATGCTGCTGTGTTTCGTATGGTGAGTGTAGAGAACCGGAGACCCTTTTTACTGTAAACGGGCACTCCATCTTAATCCTTACGGGTGACAACGCTTCTGCATTTTGATTTGCAATCGAGGATGAGATGTAGACGTCTATGGGCCACAGCAACCACTTGCCTTCAGGTGGATTGTGTGCTCGTTTGTCACCCTATCCTATAAAAAAAATGACATCGCCGTATTCCAGCATTCTGCTTGGTGAAACCATAATATGGTTTGGTCCGAACCTAAGCGTTTATGAACCGGGTACAAAGCGTCTGTGTTGAGTGCTTGGTCGCGGAAGGTAGCGGGATCTGAAAAATAGTGCTCCACTGGCCGATCGCAGACATAAGGGGGGCCCAATTAGTGAGCTGGCTACACACTAAAGTGACTAAAGGTTGTACCTATGAGATTGTCCTCCTGGTTGCACCGCCAACTGACGAAAAATACCAGGGCGGCTCTATCGTACAAACATACTAGCTAACACATAGTGATTAAATGCCTACTCTTTGGTAATAACTATAACATAGACTTGAAAAGGTACCGGGTTAAACCTTGTCTTTGGTATCGGGTTGCTAGGCAACGAAAAACGAAAATAGCATCAAATGCTCAAGAAAGCGTTGGAATTTTGGATACGTAGTGTTTTGAAAAATTTAATTTAATGCTATAGAGTGTGTAGTGTAACGAAAATGTTTTAATAATACAGGATAACGTCCGACAAATATAAACAATATAGAAAAGAAAAAGTTTATACTGAATCATGGGACTTTACCGATTATTTAGCGATAATGTGGAGATACAATATAAAAGTTATTTTCTTTCAAAAGCTACTCTATTTACAGTAATTACTACAATAATGAATATTATTTTACCATTTATAGTAGCATATCGAGGTAGGGGTAAGTTTATTCACCGGAGCGTTCTTATTTTGCTATCGCTACATTTAAATTAATTTTTGTCTCACTTTTAACATTATTCTTTAATCTTCCAGGATTTTGGCTCAAAACTCATAGTTTTTACGAGCAACCAGTAATACGCTCAACATTTGATTACATATTTCTAGCAAAAACTATTGACCCGAGTCAGGTTATAATATGTGGTGATGCTGGTATTGGCTTAAATGCTGAATTTTTAAATGATGAAAATTGCGCGGAAATTGAGGTATTATTTTTTCCTTTAAACGTACGACACTTTATTATCATGATCATCATTACAGCATTTCACAAGTCCACTGTTGAAAAATAAGCCTCCCTAAAGGAATACCGCAAAACTGGGTACTGAGCCACTTGCATCCATCGACTTCCTGCATGTCGTATCAGGTCGTCACTCGAACTAAATTAATTAACTTGACTTAGAAGGACTACTTGAAATGCGTTTGTCATGTGTTCCTCAAATTGTGTCAGATGCTGATGATACTGTATGGACAGAGGACTCACTGCTCAGTCAACTTTCTGAAGGAAATAATGACACTACTATAGATAAATTAAAGTTCTATAATTTAATAAAAACAGATAAGTTATATCTGAACAGAAAATGCAGAGCACACCTCAATACGAATTTATATAATATAGAGATTTTGAGTGCTGTAGATATATTTTACATTTTCTTCACATTTTTCATGAATATCGCCGGTCCGGTAGGTACATTCACAGCCGGATATCCTACGGTGTCAAAATTGTACCTTTTTTTTTTAACATGGGGAAATGCCTACGCATACCCGCCTCGCGGGGGCAAGGACGGGTTATGTCGGACTCACAAAACCCCATGGTGTTCCACCTTCGTCGCATATTGGCAGGGCTACGGGAACGATTTCGCACACTTCCGCGGCCCTACCAGCGACAGCCGCCCCATGGCAGCACCTCCTCGGGAGAGAAATATTCCTCCCCGTTCTCCTTCCCAAGTAAGGCGCATCAGAACACATGGCACGCCTTCCTCCACGGCCTCCAATTACATCTGCGCAAGAGACGCCCCCCGCGTCCGATGCGCGAAGGCCATGGGGCCAGGAAGAACGAGCACTTAGAAGTACTAGCCTTCCCGACCCCAGCGGCGAATCTGGTCTATGGCTCCGCCACCAACCAAGATTCGGCTGCGGAGGATAGGGAGAGCGGCGCCTCGCAATACCGACAATCCTCTCCCCCCGCAGCCCCATCACCACCGCATCAACGGTGCGGCCCCGTTTGAGTCGCGGAGGATAGGGCGAGTGGCGCATCGCCATACCAACACTCCTCTTCCTCCGCGACTCCACCTCGGCTGCAGCGGTAGAGGGTGCGGAGTCCCCACTCGCTGCAGTCCACCAGCACACATCCGAAGTGGGCTCCCCAAGCCCACTCGGAGTGGCCACCTCAGGCCGACCCTTCACCTCGGGCCAGCCACGTGGGTTCCTCTTTGTTCACCGTGGGAGACCAAGCCACGGCTACTAAGCCCCCCCGCCACGACAAGGCGGGAACCCGTTCGGGGGGGTCAAAATTGTACCTACGGTAGGCTGTTCAAAGGTAAAAATGGATTAAACATACATAATAAACGATGCCCTAGTATTTCAGCTTCATAACCTACCGTAAAAATTCATAACTATATTAGTAATAATAATGACACAAAATACTCACTATTTTCGGTATTTTCAGTTATCATATTGATGTACACGCACGTGGTTAAAAGAATTCCTAGAGGTGCGAGGATAAAACTTGCCAAAGCACTGACATGCACTATTCAAAATTGTTTTACTAACTGTGAAAAGCGTTGGCAAAAATCGTTTACTTTCGCGTATTACCAATTTCATTTTAATAAAACTATAAATAAATCAATTACTTACGTCTCAACTAAAAGAGACATCTTTTCAAAATTTAGATTACCCAATTAATATTCATTTATTTCGACCTCGTTCTAAATTTAATTTAAAAAAGTAGTTGAATCGAAAGTAATGTACGGCGACTTAAAAAATGTATCCCGTATTCTATTCTCGGACGACATCCTGGCTCCTCGTATTGTCGAAACACTTGAAGGCCTTTGTCAGAAGCGGTCAATCCCCCTCAGAATTTATCGCTACCTCTCAATACTTCTATGCAACCTTTACAAATGTCTGAAAGAGACACTTTAGACGAAATCTTGTTATTTTCGAATGTTTCTGCTGGCGGCATTGACAGGATTACGCCTCAACATCTCAAATATCTTGTAAGTCAATGCGGAATCGCTATGCCTGCTAGATGCCCCGTTGTTGTCCGACAGTATTAAACCTGTTTAAAAAACAAAGTTTTATCTTTTTTTAAACAACGTTGATAAATTGTATATATTAAACCCTCACATCTCTTTTACTATTTTAAAATATTGTCGTCTTGTACCTTTTAGATACTTACAACGCTTGAGTCCAGTCTGGAAATGTTCGGATTTATTAAAAAATGTTGATTATAATCTTAAAATGGCTTTAGAAATAATTCTAAATTTGACTTTAAATAGAACACCTGGAATCAAGCTAATTTACCTATAAAATTTGGTGGCATTGTGGTTTAAGAAATCTTTCTAGCGTTGCATTGTCTGCTTTCCTTGCTTCCGCACATAGTGTACTTGAGTAGTGACTTATGTAACATAATTTTAAATAATAAAGTAGACCTGTGTTTTATTGAGGATGCAAGGCAAACCTGGCTACGCTCTGTCTCGGCTAAAAAGGTCCCACTGGAAGTTAACGAACAAAAACAGTGGGGTATTATATAGCGGAATCAAGCTATTTACTTAAAATTTGGGGATAGGGTTCAACGTGGATATTCCGTTGGTACGGAGTGTGCAGAAAGATTTGTTTCACAGTGACCGAGATCAAGCTCGCCTTCTAGCTGTTTCGACTAAGGAATCTAGTCTCTGGTTACAGGCTGTACCATCAAAATACTCCCGGCACACTGCTTGATGATGAAAGTTTGCGCATCGCCGTAGGAATCCGTCTAAGAGCGGCAATTTGTCAATCTCACCAATGCCACTGTGGTAGCAGAGTCGAGGAGGTTAGGCTCCACCGACTTTCATGTAAGAAAAGTGGAGGTAGGTTTTCTCGTCACGGTCCTTTTAAGTCCAAGTCATCCGAAGAGCTCTTGTCTCTATAAATGTTCCCTCGATTTTAGAGCCTTGTGGGATATTTAGAGACGATAACAAAAGACCCGATGGTACGACTTTGGTCCCTTGGGAGAGATGTAAAGGCCTAGTGTGGGATGCTACTTGCGTAGACACTTTGGCGGCCTCTCATCTCAAGGGTACCTCATTGAGAGCCGAGGCAGCTGAGTTAAGTGGCGCAAATATGAGTTTTCGAGAAATGACTACATATTTGTGCCATTTGCTTTAGAGACAATCGGTCCAAGGGGTCTACGTGCGGTAAAGTTCCTAAAGGAACTGTATCCACGGCTGGTCGTCGCTGCTGGTGATAAGAGGACTGGTTCTTTTCCCGCTCAATAGCTGAGTATAGCCATTCAGCGAGGAAACGCAGCCAGGGTTCTTGGCACGTTACCACGGGGAGTAGGATTGTAGGGAGTAGGATAACAATTCAATTTTTGAGTTTTCGTTTTAGTTTTTATTTATCATAGTTTTTATTAATATTGTATATTATTTTTAATTTCATTTTAGATATCAAATTAACATATCTCATGTATATAGACCGATTAATTTACCAAATTTAGAAAAAAGCTTTATGATTTGACTTATTATTATTAAATCGTATAGCCATTCTATTAAATAATACCTACATGATTAATTTATAATATTTACAAGGTTTACTATCTTTCGAACAGATTCAAGAAAACGACTACAATGCAGATGGAAAAACTGATATGTTGCATTTTAAGCTTCATCTTAACGTGTTGCCAAATAACTCAATTATCTCCGTCTTACTAATTCTGGGAATGGATTTTCAGTTACAGGTAAGACTGTGTACTCGTATATTAACGACTACTCAATGTATACGATGTGTGCAAGATAAGAATGGAATTATTAAACTAATTAGTCGCTTTGCAATATAAACAAGTGATTTGTGTAGGTTGTGCAAAAAAATTGCATCTGACAATAATGGAAATGTCGCGATACCATCTATACCATTTGGATGACTGACGGTCCAGCACTGTGCGATTTAAAAGAAGTTTTCTTACTCTCATAACTTCCTTATGGAATCGACTACCATCAGAGATTTTTCCGAACCAATACGACTTAGGGACCTTCAAGAAAAGAGCCTTTTCCTTTTTAAAAGACCGGTAACCCATCTGCTATTCCCCTGGTGTTGCAGTTGTTTATCCCTGAACATCAGGTGAGCCGTATGCTCATTTGGATCCTCTCCTATAAAAAAAACATCCTGAGGAAACCTGCATGTCCAAGAAATAACAAAAAGAAATATTTCGAAGACATGTGAAGTTCGTCAGCACGCATTAGGGCAGCGCGGTGGACATTTCTTTGCCGTAAAACCGTCTAATGAAATGAGAGGAGGCCTGTGCCCAGCAGTGGGACGTATATAGGCTGTAACTTTATTTATTCATTCAATAAATACACCCTATCAAAATTCCACTGCTGAACATAGTCCTACCTCATAGAATCCTCCTATTTATTTATTATAGTTACATTTATTATAGTATTTCTTTGCCAACCGTACTAGCGCGAGCGCGACTGAGTCTGACTCCATCGGAGATCGTCATCATCAGCATCATTAAAGTTTTAAAAGACGACTACTGAAAAGAGGCCTCCATCATACATCGCCACGTTTAGAAGGCGAGTTGTGAACCGCAGTTTTTTATTGTTTTGAGTTGTTCTCTGGTAGAGAACGCTGCCTATTTCCCGGTTTGTTTCTCCCTGTCGTCTACGACATCCACGAGGTGATATGGGGTAATGGATTCCCATACTTCGCCACTACACAGCGATCAATAATAAAGTTATATTAAACTTTAGTTTATTTTAAAACGACAGTTATTTATTTAAAAAAATCAACACTTTATCTAGTTATATAGATAGTACCTTCTTAAAATTTATTTTTATCGAGATTTTTTTCTGGTACGACATTGCTGACCATTAGAGGGTAGTTGTGTATTAAACAGTAAGATTTTTCATAAAACATTTTTTTTAGACAACTTGTGAACTGCACATGCAGACATTAGCAGTTGTGGATAAAGAATTTACATCTCCGTCATCGGGATTATATTATTACGGTGACCTTCAATTTTATCAATCATCACATTTACCTTGCATAAACAATGTTATAGACACTACGTATAACACCTCTTTATTTACAAGTCCGAACGAAATGCAAAAAGATGTTATTGACTTCATTTTAGAAGACTACTTCAGGAGGAAAGGTAACGTTATTTTTTAATGTCAATAATAACATTAAAGTGTATCTGCTTCACAAAAGTTAATTATTTTTGTGGAAAAGAATCGCTTACCTACAAACTAGCTTAAAATTCGATTTTTCGAAAGGTCTGTTTCAACGTCATAAACATACTCTCTTTAATCAACTTAAAAAAGGAAGAAGTGTCAATTCAAATGTATGTTTTTTACGTAGGCAGAGAAACCTAGACTAATGATTAGCGTGGCTTCGAGCGAGAAAGGACGATAACGTAGTTTTAGTTTTACAATAATCTTTATGACTTTTAAACATATTTAGATAAAAATTTTAATTGTTCTAAGAACTGAACTGAACAAGATTCACCAATCTTAAGCTCACAAAACACTTTTTCCGCACTTAAAACAACTTGTAAACTCCTTAGATCGCTACGAACTGTCAAAGTTGTTTAGTAAAGTGTAGTTTGCTAAACAAAAAAAACCGGCACGGAGAAAGGGACAAACAATCACACCGCTCTGTCTCATTTCTATGCAAGACGTATGCATAAATCTATCTTTTTCGTGTGCGAATGCGAAAGAGGGCATCAATTTGTCTATAGGTTTCTCTGGCTACGGTTTTTTATTTATTTTTTATGTGTGTTACCTGAGAACTTTTTCTAGGTAAATTGATTTTGACGTTTTTTTATTTGAAATCTGGAGGTTGTCATGTGGTCCCAGATCTGACCAGTAGTTTTTGAGTTATCCTTAGTAAAGCGTATTTAATTGACTTTGTCTACATTGATGATGTTCTCATTTTATTTATATTGAAGTCGGTTGTACAAAAATTTTAATTTTACGACCTGGATTCAATGACTTGTCATTTTTGCTTATATTTTATGAGAAATGAAGGCGACGTGATAATTCATTTGAAAATTTAAAATTTTTATCTAATAATTCCAAACGGTAATCCCGTCGCCTTCATTAATAACAATCCATGCTTTGAGTTGAGCACTTTTCTACTTTAAAAGCCTTTTTATTAGTATTTTCAACAATGCGTCACAACGGGCATGCATAAAGTGAAAGACTAGGTAGTAGAGGTTCTTTTCTGCTTTCTAGGAGTCTGTGGTGCGGGTATCTTGCCTGTTTTTTTTTTCCTTTAAAGCAGCACTGCATTCTTTTTTTAATAGAATAAGGGTGACAAACGAGCACACAGCCCACCTGACGGTTAGTGGATGCTGTGGATCATAGTCATCTACATTTATCCTCGATTCAGAATTAAAATGCAGATGCGTTGTCACTCCAGGACTAATTAAAAGTTGAAGGTAGCCTTCGTTAACTATGACATCAGGACGTAAAACATCTCAGTCCTTCCGTGACCTTGACTGTCGAGAAATGTTTGAAACCTTGGGAATTAAAAAAGTTTAAATTAAACGCGATAAAATCGCTAAAATTAGTTTTTTTTCATGTATAGAATTCGCGTAAATATAATATATAATATAGTAAATATCAACACTCACCATAAGATACACAGCAGCATTAAGCTGCTATCTTACGTAGGTTTTACCACGTATTCGCTGCTGTATTCCCGTTTCAAGTGTGGCAAAAAGCGTCAGTAACCCTATTGTTCAAAGCAGGCTGGTGTCCATAACATACAGGTAGTAACCAACTATAAGATAAAATGTTAGCTTATTTAGCAATAATTTTATAAGAGATTACCACTATTGAGAAACAGTTTGGTAAACACAGTGCTGTTTACCCCCACACTGGTAACATGGTGGAGAATTGAAATATACTTCAATATATGCTATAAAATTTAAATATGGCGCCAGTGAATTAAATAATTTGTGTATCAAATGAAAGCTAGTAATAAGCAAATTCCAAATACGTGGGTGGTCTGTAGTTTCCGACCTAACAGATACAAGAAATTTTTTCTTAAATTTATTTTTATTTTTCTATATTCTCTTTTTAACTCTACACATTTCTTCCAGCGATTCTCCCATCTCTCTAACCCGTCCAAATAGTACTCGGCGTTTTACATTTGAATACGAGTAAATTATTATCATTTCTTCATAGAGTGCTTGATATGTTATTCCTTTTTGGTTGCCTTTTTCCTATGTTTTGTATATTGCTTCGACACGCTTAATTCTATCGCCTTTTCTTCAAAATACTCAAAATTTTTTATCAAAATTCGTTTTGATCTACAAACCTGAACTTGAACATTCACTTTGTGTTTATTCTTTCCAAAAAAACATTCCACACAACAACCATTACCGCCATTTTCAGTTTTTCTAAATTTAAAACTATTCCCGTCGCTTCGTATTGCGTTACAGGCTTATTGGTAGATATAATCGTCCTTGATTCATTGCAAAGTTTTAAGGACTTTATACCAAGAATCTTTAAAACTTCCACATTCATCGTCTCTAACTGACCAACGTGTCAGATTTATTTTCTTTACGTAGCGTTTTCCCTTTCTCGATTTCAGTCATTATTTTTTTCCAGCGTTGAGTCGAACTTACAAATAAAACAGATTTTTTGAAGCAACACACTTCTGTGCAACATTCAGTAGTCGCAGTTGCCTCTAAATTTAAAGAATATGCAGAGCAAGGAACGAAAACGAAAAAAGTGTTTTGAGTTCCGAGATTATCTTGAAACACTGCAGAAAATATTTCTTCAGCTTTCTTTTTAAAATTATAATCCCTTTAATTTCTCATATTTGCCGCCCCGAGAATTTGCCGCCCTAGACTCCAGCCTACTTAGCCTGCTGGTAAAGCCACCACTGTACGTATGTATAACTTAATTTTAACTGATTTATGAAACTTATTTATGTAATTAAGATACAGAGTAATAAATAATACATAATAATCAAAAATATTTTTCAGAGCACATCGGCAGAATTGGCGAGAAACTAGTTCGTCTTCCTTCGGGAACACGTGCATTCTGGTCTCTCGCCAAGGGTGGAACTTCTACCAGCCATCTTTCCTATCTCTGCATAGGGAAGACGACTCACTTGTCCATGCTGCAAAGGACAAAGCCGATCTACTGGACTCTCTCTTTGCGTCCAACTCGACTCTTGATGACGAGGGGAACACACCGCCGACCATCCCGCAGTGTGAGTGCTCCATGCAGGATGTGCTGTTTATCCAACGCTCGGTGCGCAGAGCACTGCTCTCCCTGGACAAGTCGAGTGAGCCTGATGGACGTTCCTCCTACTGCGCTGAAGACGTGTGCTCCGGAGTTGACACCGGTTTTAACACGTCTTTTCGGGTACTCCTACTCCCTAGGCGTAGTCCTGAAGTCATGGAAGACAGCCTTCTTGTACCCGATCCCTAAAAAAGGTAACGTTTCTGATCCGTCCAACTATAGGCCTATCGCCATCACCTCCTTGTTCTCTAAAATAATGGAATCCATTATTAACAGCCAGCTCATGTGGTACTTTGAGGATCACCAGCTGATAAGTAACCGCCAGTGCGGTTTCCATCGCGGTCGCTCGGCTGATGATCTTCTGGGTTACCTAATTCATTAATGGCGGGCGAAGGCAGTAGAGTCCAAGGGTGAGGCGTTGGCCGTTAGTTTGGACATAGCGAAGGCCTTCGATCGGCTTTGGCATAAAGCGCTTCTTACGAAGCTTCCTTCCTATGGGCTTCCCGAGAAATTGTACAATTGGATCACCAGTTTTCTTGCTGATCGAAGCATCAAGGTCGTAGTACACCATGCATGTTCCGATTACAAGCCCATTAACGCTGGCGTTCCACAAGGCTGCGTGCTATCGCCAACGCTGTTTCTACTGTACAGTCCGAATCGTCGGCGACCGAGCTCTTTCCGATCGGCTTAACTCACTGGCATTGCGAAGAGACCTCGCGTCTCTTTACGTATTTTATCGCATATACCACGGGGAGTGCTCTGAGGAATTGTTCGGACTAATTCCAGCCGCACAATTTCACCATCGCACATCGCGATACCATCCATACAATCTGGATGACTGACGGTCCACCACTGTGCGGTTTAAAAGTTTTCTTCCTCGCAAAACTGCCTTGTGGAATCAACTACCACCAGAGATTTTTCCGGACTGATACGACTTAGGGACCTTCATGAAAAGAGCCTATTCCTTTTTAAAAGGCCGGCAACGCATCTGCAATTCTTCTGGTGTTGCAGTTGTTCATGGGTGGCGGTAATCACTTACCGTCAGGTGAGCCGTATGCTCGTTTGCCCTCCTCCTATAAAAAAGGTAAAATTGATTTCCCAGTCTTTGTTAGACCATTTCTTCGGATTTAGTTGGACAACCTACATTTGCAATTATCGATGTACGATCTCGATACTCAGATATCTTAAAATTATGTCGATGTTCGCTTATTTTCCGTAAATTTGAAAGCTGGGCTGGTGAAATTAAAAGTATTTCGGTTAAATCTTAAGTATTTCTTTAACATAACAAATATTAATGACTATGAATTAACATAATTTTTAACCATTTCAGAGATAACATTAAAATCATTAAAAAAATCCAAAATAAATTGAGTGCATTACGAGGTTATGTTGCAACTGAAAGCCTTTAAAACTATCATTAAAAATATAATAGTCATATTGAAATATAAAAGCCTAGCAAATGCATTAAAATAATAAACTATCATTTCAATAGATCAACTACATTTCAAATAGCAACAAATAAATTAGTGATAGTAAAACTTAAAAATATGAATAACTCAAAACATACTTCGGTCAAAATATCTGACTATTGAATTTGTACAGTGATATGCACCTAACACAACACCATGTACATATGTAGTTGGTTGCAAATAATTTTAGATCTTGGATTTTGCATATTTGCACATAGAATTCTCATTGAACTCAATTGTTCTTTCTTTAGTGGTCTGAGTTCGGCACTAAATCGGCATAATCTATTGTAAACATGAGTAATTTCGATCCATAAATATATAATTTGTAAATAACTTACTTAGGTATATTTGGTAGAGCCATGCTGCAGCTATAATATTATGGTTGTTACACAAATGGATCGGTTCAACCAAAGGCACAAGTGTAGCAATGGATTCAGATTTGGCATTAAAGCCATGATAATAAATAACTAACTTATTTGGTTCTTTCAATGTAGAAGTGCTTATATCTAATAACAAATTATTGTTGCTGCCAACCTATTTATAAAATAAATTTACTTTTTCAGTTACAACACAAGTTAAAACACTTTTTGCCAAAGTTCAGAATGGTTATACTGGTACTTTAGATGTAAACATCCACTTAAGAGTACCAGAAATGCACATCCGGTATCAACCAAGTGTAATGCAAGAGTTAAAGTGGGCTTGGCCGCAGTATTTTTCTTTAGTAGCAGTCTTCTACTGGATATTTAATAGAGTGAAGAGATTTGTTTTTAATAAGCGTCTTTTAATGGCATGGGAAATTGTACCTTGGAAAAAAAACAAATTAAGATAAGAAGATTGATTAGTGTGATATATAATAAGCAAACATTTCTTACCTACCAATTAATACAACAGTCAACAAATGATATATTGTTCCTTGTTTATATTGGAAGATAATGTTTAACCTCTTTTATTCTATAGTTCAATATTATAACCTAATAATAAAACCAATAAGAATATAAAAATGGTGTATGTTTTTTTTTCTACAACTTATCTAATTAATTCACAATTTACATTTTTGAATTAAAACAATGATTTCACTGGGTCTGTGTAAGAGCAGGCAGATGACCTCCAAATTCTGGCTTTGTATGATCTAGTTCAGCTCGGTTATCCTCAATAATAAATGTTTTTCCACTATAGTCGTCCAGCTGTACCAATAGATAGCGACACATATAGTTTCCATATTCATTCTGAAACAGTTGTATCTATATAAATAATAATTTTTATGGACAACAATGTTTTGAATCTTATTGTTAAAAGTACTGTTCAATGTCTCAAAAAAAACCTGCTTTCTCACTTTCGAAATACAATTTTACTTCACTCCATGTTGAATTTATTTTGCCAATATCATTATTTTGAAAGTGTTAAAGCAGGTTTTTTCAGTTTTACAGCTTTACTTCATACCATGTTATATTTATTTTGCCAATATTATTAATCCTTTACAGACATTGGTATCACCACATACCATCAGATGAGGTATTGAATAATAGACAAGCACTGCCTTATTAATTATAAAAAAATCAGTACTTATATTGATCTAGGTTCCTTTTAATCAATGTTAAAACATTAAACTACAAAAGTAGAGATTATCTGAATCTTCACCTTCCATGTCCGATGAAACTCTTATTACTCCTAATAGCTACTGTTTAATTAGCTAATTCAAAATACATATTGAATATTGTTGCAAAAATTTTAATAAATTTTCCTGAAAAACCACCCCAAACACACTTAATTGGTTTGTCCAATTCTGCAATACTATGTTACTCCCAATAACTGCTGTTGTAAATTATCAACTGCACAGAAGATATGACATACATCTGCACTAATACATCGGCTTTTAATTGATACTGATATAAATTAACACAATAAAATAAAACCAAATGTCAAACATCAATATAGTCAAACACTATTCTCATCTGAGTTTCAAAATTCTACTGCTAAATACCAATTACTTTACTTTGAACAATTGTTATCGCTCTGGAAATGGGATGAACAAATATTAGTCATGGCTGTAACTTATGGCCTGCTTTATATATAATATAAAATTAGTGATAGTAAAACTTAAAAATATGAATAACTCAAAACCTACTTCGGTCAAAATATCTGACTATTGAATTTGTACAGTGATATGCACCTAACACAACACCATGTACATAGTTGGTTGCAAATAATTTTAGATCTTGGATTTTGCATATTTGCACATAGAATTCTCATTGAACTCAATTGTTCTTTCTTTAGTGGTCTGAGTTCGGCACTAAATCGGCATAATCTATTGCAAACATGAGTAATTTCGATCCATAAATATATAATTTGTAAATAACTTACTTAGGTATATTTGGTAGAGCCATGCTGCAGCTATAATATTATGGTTGTTATTATTAAGTATTATTAAGGCAGCCGTGGCACAGTTTATACTAGTACGGCTGCCGACGTTAACCTCTCAATGTAATTGATGCTACTTTTATTTAAATAGTGTAAGTCACGATGTAAAATTTGTGGAGTGAATAAATATTATTATTATTATTATTATTATTGTTACACAAATGGATCGGTTCAACCAAAGGCACAAGTGTAGCAATGGATTCAGATTTGGCATTACACCCATGATAATAAATAACTAACTTATTTGGTTCTTTCAATGTAGAAGTGCTTATATCTAATAACAAATTATTGTTGCTGCCAACCTATTTATAAAATAAATTTACTTTTTCAGTTACAACACAAGTTAAAACACTTTTTGCCAAAGTTCAGAATGGTTATACTGGTACTTTAGATGTAAACATCCACTTACGAGTACCAGAAATGCACATCCGGTATCAACCAAGTGTAATGCAAGAGTTAAAGTGGGCTTGGCCGCAGTATTTTTCTTTAGTAGCAGTCTTCTACTGGATATTTAATAGAGTGAAGAGATTTGTTTTTAATAAGCGTCTTTTAATGGCATGGGAAATTGTACCTTGGAAAAAAAACAAATTAAGATAAGAAGATTGATTAGTGTGATATATAATAAGCAAACATTTCTTACCAGGTACCTAACAATTAATACAACAGTCAACAAATGATATATTGTTACTTGTTTATATTGGAAGATAATGTTTAACCTCTTTTATTCTATAGTTCAATATTATAACCTAATAATAAAACCAATAAGAATATAAAAATGGTGTATGTTTTTTTTTTCTACAACTTATCTAATTAATTTACAATTTACATTTTTGAATTAAAACAATGATTTCACTGGGTCTGTGTAAGAGCAGGCAGATGACCTCCAAATTCTGGCTTTGTATGATCTAGTTCAGCTCGGTTATCCTCAATAATAAATGTTTTTCCACTATAGTCGTCCAGCTGTACCAATAGATAGCGACACATATAGTTTCCATATTCATTCTGAAACAGTTGTATCTATATAAATAATAATTTTTATGGACAACAATGTTTTGAATCTTATTGTTAAAAGTACTGTTCAATGTCTCAAAAAAAACCTGCTTTCTCACTTTCGAAATACAATTTTACTTCACTACATGTTTTTTTTTTTTCTTTTTTTTTTTTTCAAGGGGGGGGGGTTTTTTTGTTCTCTTTTTTTTATGTATTTGTGTATAAATATTATTATTATTTATAATTTATTTTGCCAATATCATTATTTTGAAAGTGTTAAAGCAGGTTTTTTCAGTTTTACAGCTTTACTTCATACCATGTTATATTTATTTTGCCAATACCATTAACCCTTTACAGACATTGGTATCACCACATACCATCAGATGAGGTATTAAATAATAGACAAGCACTGCCTTATTAATTGTAAAAAAATCAGTACTTATATTGATCTAGGTTCCTTTTAATCAATGTTAAAACATTAAACTACAAAAGTAGAGATTATCTGAATCTTCACCTTCCATGTCCGATGAAACTCTTATTACTCCTAATAGCTACTGTTTAATTAGCTAATTCAAAATACATATTGAATATTGTTGCAAAAATTTTAATAAATTTTCCTGAAAAACCACCCCAAACACACTTAATTGGTTTGTCCAATTCTGCAATACTATGTTACTCCCAATAACTGCTGTTGTAAATTATCAACTGCACAGAAGATATGACATACATCTGCACTAATACATCGGCTTTTAATTGATACTGATATAAATTAACACAATAAAATAAAACCAAATGTCAAACATCAATATAGTCAAACACTATTCTCATCTGAGTTTCACAATTCTACTGCTAAATACCAATTACTTTATTTTGAACAATTGTTATCACTCTGGAAATGGGATGAACAAATATTAGTCATGGATCAATATAACTTATGGCCTGCTATTCCGGAGTGACTATCATGTATTCTAGCAATAAGCGTAGCTTGACATGATTCTCAAATAAATTTAAATATAATGCTAATATAACATAATCACCATGACTACATAATTCATGAAAGAGCACAGACTTTTTAAATTTAGTTTTCAAATGCTTTGAAAATGTAACAGGATTTCTTTAAACCTTACATGTTTAGGGCTTGCAAATTGAGAGTTTAAGAATAATGAATTTATGAACATCAAACATAAATTGTAATTAATGAAAGATAAAATATAATTAACCCGTCAATCCCCTAGTGGTCTCATGAGACCGCAGCCATATTCTGTCAAATCCCTAGCGGTCTCATGAAACCGCACCCACCCTCAGCACTATAACCCATACTTATATTTAAAGACTACTTTTCTATGAAGAAGTTAGGCATTATAGAATCAATATGAAATTTTCTACCCTCTAGTTGAATAAAAATTCAGTTAGTCTATAGATATTCATTTAAAATCAACATTCAAAGTGTGTCATTGTCAAGTGTACGTTGTTGTACATTGTTGCATTGATATTTGGATTTTTATAAGTTAAGAACAGTTTTTTATATAATAAAGTTTTTGTGTGAATATAATTTATCTTTTAACGTAAATAATTTCGAGTAAAATATAGAAATAATAGTAATTTTCACGCTACCAACATCCGCTTAGTATGTAGTTATCAAAATACAATAAAGTATTTTTGTAATGATTAATCCATTGAATAATTGACTTTTGCTTAAACTATAGAATAGAGAATTTTGTATAGATTCTATAAAATTTTGTATAGATTCTATAATGCCAAACTTCTTCTATAAATATAAGTTTTTATGGAATATGTTCATCAAATCTTGAGCGGTTGCATGCAACCGCACCCATCCACACCACTTTAAACCGTTAAAACTTACATTAATAGACTACTTTTCTTTAAAGAAGTTTGGCATTATAGAATCTATAAGAAATTCTCTATCCTGCGGTCTAAACAAAAGTCAGTTACTCTATGAATTTTTATTTTAAAACATAACTATATTTTAATAATTTTCGTATGGTCGGCACATGTCGTAAATTGACGGAAGAATAAATATACATACATACATAGAGTAACTGACTTTTGTTTAGACCGCAGGATAGAGAATTTCTTATAGATTCTATAATGCCAAACTTCTTTATAGTAAAGTAGTCTATAAATATAAGTTTTAATAGTTTTAAAGTAGGGATGGGCCAAATATGGATTTCACCGAATACGAATATTCGGCCGAATGTTTGGTAAACCTTTTACTGAACTGAATATTCGGCCGAACATTATTCGGCAGGATAACCTCAGATACCCAATTTATGTCGAAAGTTGTTACCGTAAAACGCGCGGGATTAACGCGGGCCCTGCCTCTCACTCCCTGCCACAGCTGACAGTTATTGCGTCATCTACTACTGAGGGAATTGCCGGCACATGCTTATGTTTTGACTA